ATTTGCCATTGTTGTGACGGTTCGTAGCCCTGCCTTCTCTGGCTCCCCCAGCACCAGCCAGGCAGTCCTGTGCCTCAGGAGTCCCACTGAGCCATATCCCCTTCATGCCTGAAGGCCCAGCCCTAACCAAAGGGGACTGCAGGTGTGGCCCAGGCCGTGGGGCCAGGGCTGCCCTGATTTCTGAGCAGCCCTTTTGTTGGGGGTGCCACCCTGCTCCATATAGTTCCCAGACCCCAGGTCCTGCTTCAAACTAAATAAAGCCCCCTGATCCTTGGTCAGGACCCCCATCATGCCCTCACCCTGGCCATTCAGCTCTGTGTGAACTTTCTACAGTGAGCAGGTCATCACGTGTGACTAGAGAAAACATTGCTGCACACACATCCATCCATGTCGGAGCACGGGGGGTGCTCATGTTCCAGGTAGAGGAAGACGTCCCTTGGAACAGGAGTGGGCAGCTGGCAAAGCCAAGGGTGGCCTCATGGTGCCCAGATGAGGATGTTGGGGGGCTCTGAAACCCCAGCCCCTCCCCCAACCAGGTACACAGGCCACATTCATAACTTTTTCCTAAAGCCCATGATATTAAGTATTCCCTGTTAAAAAAAAATTTAGAATATATGCTAAACAAAAAGAAGAAAGAGAGCACTGTGCTTCCCAGGGTGGAGAGAACCAACCACCTTTAACATTTGAAACGTCTTTTTCCAGACAAATCAGATAGATATTTTTTAATGTGATTAAGCATATATTTTCCCTCCCTTATTTTTTTATTTTATTTTTTTGCTTGACAGTATATCATCGTTTCTCATTGAATACGCCTCTGTGTCAGCAGTTCTCAAATGAGTCTGGGGACCTCGACAGATCTTCAAGACCTTTTCAGGGAATCCATTGAGTTGAAACATTCTCATAATGACATTAAAGACCTTGGTAGCCTTTCCACTCATTCTCTCCCAAGTGGGTTTTCCAGAGGCTGCCTGATGTGCCGCAGGGCAACAGCTGGATGCAGAAGCAGATGCAGAATCTGGCATCCTTATCAAGCCAGACTCTCATTAAAGAGATTTGCAAAAGCATGAAATTGTGCTAGTTTTCTTGTTAATTTCTTTTTTTTTTTCTTTTTTTGGTTTGGGAAAGTATAGTTATTTTTCATGAAAGTATGTCCTCCAGGACAATATAAAATAGGCTATCTTTTTTTTTTTTTTTTTTAAGTACCAGAGATTGAGCCTGGGAGTACTTTACCACTGAGCCATATCCCCCACCTTTTTTTTTTAGAGACAGGGTCTCACTGAGTTGCTTAGGGCCTCACGAAGTTCCTGAGGCTGAGTTTGAACTCACGATCCCCTGCCTCAGCCTCCCAAGTCACTGGGATTATAAGTGTGCACCACCTCATCTGACTGTTATTGTTATTTTAAGTGAATTAATAAATACATATTTTATGATTCTTTCATTTTTATTCTGAATATGCTAAAAATTGATAGTTATATTAAAAAAAAAAAACTCTTCAAACCCCTTAATAATTTTTAAGACTTGAAAAGTGATCCTGAGACTGAGTGTTGGAGAAGTGTCCCCAGCCCTTTTAATTTTTTATTTTGAGACAGGGTCTCGCTAAGTTGCTTAGGGCCTCTCTAAGTTGCTGAGGCTGGCCTTGAACTAGCAATCTTCCTGCTTCAGCCTCATGAGTTGCTGGGATTATAGGCATGCGCCTCTTCTTGGTCACAAGATCAGTTTTGATGACTGCATAGAGTCCACACAAAGAGAAATTTGTTTACCTGCTTCCTTATGGATGGACTTGCAATTTTTCTCTATTATAAAATGTTGCACAAATTATTGAATACTTACATAAAGTGAAAACTTTTTGAAATGAGGGAAAATAAAAGGAATCAACTGGTAGTAGGAGCCATCATTATCATGATTGATCAAGTTACACAAACTGCATCACAGAACGTGAACAAATAAAGGAAAATGTACATATAAAAATACATGCATAGGTACATATTTCTAAATTAGGCAACTTATCCTTGTAAAGAATACTATGCTGTCTTTTCTGTTTTCTGCAAAGTGCTTACAATGTCTGATTGTACTCTAGACCAGGGTTACCAACAATATAAAATGTTTTGTTACCATTACAGAAATTAGGGAGAAGAGTTGAGAAATTAATCAATCTGACAGAAATTTTATTTCTATTGGAAAGAATTTTAAATTGAGGTTTGCTTTTAAAAAATCAAATACTACAAAATGCTGCAAACATTTTTCTTTTTTAAATACACTTGAGAATAGCTCTGCAGGACAAACTCCTAATGTGGCATTGCTGGGCCAGTGGACATGAACCTTTAAATGCAATGGACACTGCCAGTTGCCTCATCGATATCTCCCCAAGAGCATACTGGAGCACCCCTGGAGCACCGGCTCTCTCACACCTTTGGCAACATTGAGGATCCTGATTCTTCAACCTTTTCTAATTAGCAGCTAAAAGATGTATTTTGTCTTCTGTGAATTGCTTATGAATCTCTCATGTTCACTTTTGAATTTTTTCTTATTGATTTTTCTGGAGCTCTTTATATACTCTGGACATAAATCTTTGGTCTATGATACACTGCACAGATTGTACCCAAGTGTGTAGCTTTTCTTTTTCTGTAATCAATATTTTTATTTAAAAAAAATTCTAATTTATATAGGAGGACATTAGTGGCTTTTAAAAAAAATAAGTGAATATTCTTTTGTTTGCTTTTTTTTTCCCCTCGATACTGGGGATTGAACCCAGGGGCACTTAACCAGTGAACCCCATTCCCCAGCCCTTTTTAACATTTTATTTAGAGACAGGGTCTCTCTGAGTTACTTAGGGCCTCCATAATTTGCAGAAGCTGACTTTGAACTCACAAGCCTCCTGCCCCAGCCTCTGGAGCTGCTGGGATTACAGGCATGTGCCACCACACCTGGCTACAAGTGAGCATTTTTGACCTTTAGTCATAGCTGTATTATTGAATGTCTCATCCAATTCCTAATACATGCAAAAAATGTCCTCAGGTTTAATGCAAAATACAAGATAAGCAGATGTTGGGTATTTCTACAATGTGAATTCAATGTTATCTTTTATTGTGTGTTAAAAACTGTGTACTAGACTGAGAGGATGTTTATATAAAAAATACAGCTGCCTTGATTTTAAAAACACTCTAAATATTTAAGAGCACTATGGCTTTTTATTTTTTAACTCATAGTAAAACATTTTGAGAGAGGTCACAGTTTTCTGTGACCTCTGCTTTTTATAAGGAGCTAGGACTTCCCTAATTACTTATTTTTTATTGAGACATGATATTTGGACATCTTTTTTCAGGGGCTTTCCTTTTAATTTTGTTTAGGAATATTGTAGTACAGAAACTATTATTTACAAAGTTTATTCTAATTATTTACAAAGTTTATTCTAATCTATTAATCATTTCTTTAATGATTCGGGGATCTTGTCTTGCTTCAGAAGCCTTTTCACTTTGCATGATTTAAAAAGTAGTCCCCATTTTTCTCTAACATACTAACAGTCTCCTCCCTCCCTCCCTCCCTCCCTCCCTTCCTTCCTTCTTTTCTAATGTTTAGATCTTTAATCCACCTGGAATTCATTTCTGTTATGGGGGGAGGGGTTGACTTGACCCTTGCCAGCCATAATAAAGTGGAGAGTGGCAGAATGTCTGCAATGGGCTTGTGTCCCAATAAAAACCAGCTGGGAGCCAGTTGTGGTGGCGCATGCCTATAATCCCAGCAGCTTGGGAGGCTGAGGCAGGAGGATTACAAGCGCAAAGCCAGCCTCAGTAATTTAGCAAGGCCCTGAGCAACTTAGCAAGACCCTGTCTCTAAATAAAATATTAAAAAGGCTGGGGATGTGGCTCAGTGGTTTAGCACCCCTGGGTTCAATCCCCTGTACACACACACACACACACACACAAACAGACCCAGCCAGGTTCCTGGAGCTGTGCTGTCCCAAGGTAGACAGAGAGCCGAGGCCATCTGTCCCAGGAGGGGAGGCAGACTACATCTCAGAAGCCCACCAGAAGAGCTGACAAGTTTCCCAAGAAAGTAACAAAACATCTTTAGCCTGGCATGTGGCTCACGAGCAGCTTTCCTGTCCTGTCCTACTTGAGGCCAAGGCAGATGCAGACAGGGGAGGCCTTAGGATCCCTGCTAGACCATCACAGGGAACAAGGGCAGAGGTCGAGAAACACCCAAGCCTGCGGCCAGCAAAGCGGCAGGACCCAGGCTCCCGCCTCCAAGCGCACTCATGCTCCAGGGACATCTCTGTGTATCAGGCCCTGTCCTCGGGATCCTCAGAGCTGCCTCCTCACTGGGAAAGAGGATCTGAGGCTTTTCTAGAACTTTGATACCCCACTGTGGGTAGGAGAGACTAAAAAAATCCATCCCCCGGCACCAGCCAGCAGAGGCAAGGCTTCCTTCCTTCCACAGGGGAGCGGTTTGGTGGGAGTGGGGATGAGTCAGGCCAGGAAGGGGCGCTCAGCCATAAACAAGCAGGACTGACAGAGAGCACTTTCCCTGAGTGACCTCCCACAGCCCCCCAGGGCCTCCGCCCAAATGGCTGCAACTTAAAAATTTCATGATCTAGGCTTTGCAGACTTAACCTGCTGTATCCACATCAACATCCACGGAAGGCAGAGGACCTTTAGCTGGCGGTGGAGATGAGGGAGAGGTACGCAATGGCCAGGCTCTTGGTGGAGGGCCATGATTTTTTAAAGAGTGGGATATTTTTGCAGATGCCCATGCACCTGTGGCTGGGTCTTCATCCGCTCCAGCTCCAAACCCAAAGGATGCCCAGGGAGCTGATCTGAGAGCCGGGCTGGTCTTGGAGACAGTGTTCCAGTCCCTCAGGAAGGGAACCCCGTGGACACCGAGGGCAGTGGCTTGTCCAAGTGCACACCTCTGGGAAAGTTCTGGAAAGAAATCTCAGGTCTCCTGGCTCCCCGGCCTGCACTTGTTCTGTTGTGTCTCATGAAAACCCTATGGCCACCTACCTGTTCCAGGGGGATGACAAGGAAGGAGCCACCTCCGGCGCTCTCGGTGACAATGGCCAGGAAGCGGGCATTGACGGCACAAAAGTGGTTGTCGTGCACATTCTTGGTGATGGGGATCCCATCGAAGCAGTGCTCCCGGTTGGCCACCTTCCCGTAGACGTTCCGGAACTTGGAGCTGCGGTACTGCGGACGCCAGGACATCTGTGAGGGGCCAGGAGAGATGAGGGTCAGGCAGGTCCCTGCTCTGTGAAGGGTCTGGGCTGGGCACCAGGGAGTTAGGGGTGCAGGAGGTGAGCAAGCCCTGGGGCCTGCGCTCAGGGAGTTGGGGGGCAGGGTAGAGCCTCCACCAATTCTGGGCCCACGATGTGCCAGCCCTGTGCCTACCAAAGTCCTGTGGGAGCAGAGACTGGCATGGGGCGTTCACACACTTCCTGCTTTAGGTTCCCATGCCCATCCCACCTTCCAGAAAGATGGTAGGGTTCTTTCATTACCAAGGACCATGCCAAGTGAGGGAGCAAACCAAGCACACGTGGACTGCCGCCCGCCTAGGGTCCAAATTCAGTATGGGAAGACAGGCGGGGGGCTGGGTGATCACAGAGATTGAAACAATGCTGATGGCCAGGGGTCAGGGGGGTGTTCATTTATGCACACCCCCCTGACCCCCTCCTCTTGTTAGAGCTTCTAGATTCTTTCTAAAGTTTCTAATCCACAAGGGCCTCCTCAGAAACCTCTTAGTCCTACATGTCATCAACATTGCCATCATTACCATTATCATCATCATCAGGCACAGAGAGGTTAAGTGACTGTCCAAGGCCACAGAGCAGAGTAGAGGCCTAAACATAGGTTTCTCCTATGCAGGACTACCTTTTGGAGCAAGATTCTTAATGTGAGGCCCAAGAATCACTGTATCAAACTCACTCGGGGTGGAGGAGATCTCTGAGCCTCCCACGCCACCTACTACAAACACAAACTCCTCGGTCCCAGTGCAGGCCTGCAGAATCCAATATTTTATAGATGGGGCCCAGAAATCAGCACTTGGATCCGTTTTCCTTGCCCTCCCCACTCTCCCCCAGCAAGACAGACACACACACTGAAATTCCCCAGGGGAGGAAAAACAAAAGGGAACACCCCCACAGGACCAGGAAGCCAACTCTGGGAATTTGCCTTTTGCACTTGGTTTAAGCAAAGCCAGGAGCTGGGCCACAAGGGCCTCCGGGAGGAAGGGGAAGCTCAGAATCCAAGGGCAGTCCCAGGGAGGACTCCTCACTGCGGGCAAGCTGCTGTGGGCAAGCTGCTTCCCCAGCTCTCGGCCCCCTCCTCCCTGCCTCTCCACTTCCCCAGGGCCCTCATCCCAGCAGGCTGTCTCCCACTGTCCATGGCTCCCCACCTCCGGCCTTGGCTGCGCTGGACCCTCTCCCACCTCCTGCTCTCTCTGCTGGCCATATGAACGTGGCCATCTGAACAGTCATGCTGGAGAGCCCAGGACGGGGGCCTGTGGGCCACTGCTGCCCTGAGGCCTTCCCCTCTCTGGCAAACCCTTCCCCTCTCTGGTGTCCAGTTCCTGGGTGACATCATCCATTCCCAAAGTGGAATCCCAGGTGGTCCCTCAAGGTCCCTTCACATGGCACAGAGATGAAGTTTCTAATTTTAATAGTTGTGTGTTTATTTTCTTTTGCATTAAAATAAAACATAACATACATGCCAATTCCATGGTGTCACAGATACTATTGTTAATGAGATTTTTTTTATTATTATTTTTTTAAGTCCTTGACGGACCTTTATTTTATTCACTTATTTATTTGTGGTGCTGAGAATCGAGCCCAGTGCCTCCCACATATGAGGCAAGTGCTCGACCACTGAGCCACAACCCCAGCCCTATGAGGTTAATTTTTAAGAATCGATTCAAAGAAAAATGAAGTATGAAAAATATAGGATGGGTGGTTTGTGGATCTGGTAAAAGTTCAACGGGAGGGGAAAAAGCTGGGACTCACTCTGTCTCTTCCAGGTAGAACATTCTAGATTCCACAGTTCCCATGGAAGAGAGGTGTTGAGCTTGCTCCGACCAACCCCCAGCCCCTTGCTGGAGCCTTTTGCCCTGCAAAGCCTTTTCCTCCCCGTCTGCCCAGCCCAACCTCGGCCTTCAGGACCTGACTCAGATCGGACTCTGGCCCCCAGAGGCCTCCTCAGAGCCCAAGACAGTCAGGGCCTCTCCTGGGCTCCTGGCCCCAAGTTCTCCCTCCCTGCTCTGTGACGTCAGGAGGTGACACCAGGGTCTTCTCAGCAGAACTGAACTCTGGTTTGTGCTCTTTCTGGACAGTTAGTCCCTCTCTGGAGGGAGCCCACCCTAGTGAGGGACAACACCTCAGCTTCCACCAGAACACAAAGAGTCCAGGTGTGGCAGTTGGGGACTTTGACAAGTTCTCCTTTAGTCCAGCATAGCCACAGCTGGGCCCTGGGCAGCGGGCAAGTGGCCTCATTAGAGGCAGAGTGGCCCAGCTCTGTGCTCCTTCCTCCCACAGGGTCTCCAGAGGACTGTGAGGAAATCGTCACAGGCAAAGGACTGGGAGCCACCCGGAGCTGAGTTCAACTTCCATCTCTGCTACAGACTAGCTGTGCGACATGGGGAGGCTACTTAACCTCTCTGTGCCACCTCCATCTGCTCCTATATAAAGGAGGCTAATATCTGCACCACCTCTGAGGGCTTGGGAGGAGTCGATGCCAAGCTGCCACCATGTGCCCAGGACAGGGCACACTGACCTGATGGGATCTCCTGGGCTCTCCTGACAACACCCACATTTACCCTGATGCCCTGGGGGAGCCCTCAGCTGCCCTGTCCCTGTGTCTGTTATTGTGTCTGACATCACTCCTCCTCCTCCTCCTCTTCCTCCACTCTCCCTCTTCCTCTCCAACCCCTGCTCTCTCTCTGTCTCCCACTTCCTGCCCTTTTCCCTCCCTCCCACTGCCCCAGTTTAGCTGTGGCAGAGGCTCCTGGTGGGCACCTCATATGCTTCTTGATGATCCCTTGGCCAGTTCTGATGGTTGCCCCTGTGCCCAGCTGGTGCTTCTGAACTGGACCCTGTGTCATGGGAGACCTCAGTCCCCAGCCTGGGGGCTGCACTCTGCAGGCAATTCTTCCACTGAGCATGTCCTCCAGAATGGGCCTGGGAGGTTCTAGACAGAGGACGGCCTGCTTCCCGGGATGTTGGTGTGGGGGGTCTTTCCAGGGCTGGTTCACAGCACGTCCTGCTGGACTCTTGCCAGTGGCCGGTAGACTGAGAGCCATCTCACCTGGGCTTTGGGAGGGCCCTTCCTGACCCTCGGGCCACCTCATTGGGCCTGCAGGTGTAGTGCACATGCGCCCAGGCCAAGTGTTTACGGCAGAGCCCTGGACTGGAGCCTGCGGAGCCCAGGCTCTCCCACCAACTTCCAGCAAAGAGACCCTTTGCCTCCCGAGCACCAGCTGCTTCTCTCCCCCTCGCTCCCCCCAAGTCCCTTTCTTTCTTCTTTTGTGGAATTACTGGAAAGGAATTTGTATAAATCATGACTCCTGCCTCCTTATTACTGCTGCACGCATTTCCCACAGAGGAGGGCAATATCCTCCTCAATCCCAGCACCACTGTCACATCAAAGGAACTGAAAATCCCTCCGTGCCACCTAATATACAGTCCATATTCAAATTTCCCTCAAAATGTCTTTTGCAGCTATTTTATTTTGTGAATTCAACAAAAGTCCACGGAACCAGGCATGGTGGCACACGCCTGTGATCCCAGCGGCTCTGGAGGCTGAGGCATGTTCAAGGCCAGCCTCAGCAACTAAGGGAGGACCTAAGCAACTTGGCAAGACCCTGTCTCAAAATGAAAAACAAAAAGAGTATAGACTAAGGAACAGGATAGCTGGGTCTAATGGTGGTTCCATTCCAAGTTTTTAAATGAATCTCCATACTACTTTCCAGATTGGCTGCACCAATTTGCAGTCCTACCAGCAATGTATGAGTGTACCTTTCCTCCCACATTCTTGTGAACACTTATTGTTTTTTATATTTTTTATAACTGCCATTCTGACAGTGATGCAGCTACATCAATGTTCATAGCAGCTCAATTCACAATAGCCAAACTGTGGAGCCAACCTAGATGCCCTTCAGTAGATGAATGGATAAATAAACTGTGGTATACATACACAATGGAACATTACTCAGCAATACAAGAGCATAAAATGATGGCATTTGCAGGAAAATGGATAGAGTTGGAGAATGTCATGCTAAGTGAAGATAGCCAATCCCAAACAAATCAAAGGCTGAATGTTTTCTCTGATAAGTAGATGCTAATCCATAATGGGGGGCAGACATGGGATGAGTGGAGGAACTCTGGATTAGGCAAAGAGGAGGGAGGGGAGGGGAGCAGGGCATGGGGGCAGGAAAGATGGTGGAATGAGATGGACATCATTACCCTAGGTGCATGTATGACTGCACATATGGAGTGATGCTACTTTGTGTACAACCAGAGAAGTAAAAAATTGTGCTCCATTTGTGTACAATGAATCGAAGAACAATCTGCTGTCATTTATAACTGATTAGAACAAATAAATAAAATTTTAAAAAAGGGCTGGGGAAGTGGCTCTGTGGTGAAGTGCCGGGTTCCATCCCTGGTACCAAACAACAATAAGAAAAGGGCATGGGCTGTGTTTGGTTGTGACCTTGCCTTTGCCTCTTTAATCTAGAACACTCACATCCCCTGGTTTTTTAAGTGTCGTTGACTGTTTCAGGACACCAGGTCAGCGTTGCATAAAAATGTCCCAGCAATTTGTCACATGTTGCCTCATGGCATCCTCAAAGTTGTTCCTTCACCCACTGTAAACTTGTGTCCCCACTGTCTCCGGACTATATAGCAGGTAAGAAAAGAGAAGAGGGAAGGGATGGGGGACGGCAGGGGAGGAGAGGACAGGCCACAGGGGAGGTGTGAGCAGGTAGTACCTGGCTGGGGCCAGCGAGGGGCCAGCTGGCCAGTGCCAAAGGTTTATTCTGGAGGGTGCAGGCCAGAGGCTGAAGGCCTGGCAGTTGGCTTAGGCCCAGCACGCACTGCGGAGGTCTGCACTTTACACACACACACACACACACACTCACCCGCCCCCATTCCTAAGGGGCTGAGCTCACTCTGAGATCAGAGGCCTGGGTGTGCAGGCAGCAGGCAGAGGAGCCTCCTCCC